AAAAAAAGAAATACATCAGAGAACAAACGGATAACTGCACATGGAAGGCTAGAGGAAATACTTTTTTCCCACTTTGCAGAGAACAATATTGGGATTCCAAATCAGTTTTTCCTACACTTAAGCTAAGAGCTTTTTCTGTTGTACCATTTTGTTGTCTAGATATGACCATCCAGAAATATATTGATAATTCTAGCCATGAAGCACATTATTTCATTTAGTTACCATTTACATAAATATAGATTATGGGCAAAATTTCCAGACTCTTGACCTAAGTGGGCATGTTTCTCAGGTCTTAATGGCGATGATGTTGTTTATGATGGTGGCGATGACGCTGGTTAGGTTGGTGACAAGCAACACTTACAAAGATTATCTCACTTAACCTTTGCAGCTCTGAGGTGACATTATACTGCCATGTCTATCTGTCTATACTGTCACTTCCATTAATAGTGTTATCATTTGGCAGAGAGAGGTAATTTTTTATACAGAAATAAGAATCCCTTACATTTAAGAGATGGCCTGAAAGAGAGGTAATTTTTTATACAGGAAACCAAGGTAGCAAAGGTTTGTGCTTTTTGACCAAAGTCACACAACCACACAGTGAAGCAGCTGGTAGACTCATAGCCCAAAATCCTGGAAAGCTTTGCAGTCTACTTATTATGAGCCCTCATGCCTCAGTTTCCCCTTTTATAAGATGGTTAGGATTGTAGCTGTCTTCCAAGAACATGGTTTAGGCTACATTAATATGCTTATTATGACTACTACCAAGTCAAAGATTCCTGTGATTTAACCTGAGTTTAGAGATCAGATTTTCACTCACCAACCTGCAACCCATCACTGGCTGTTTAACAGGGCTTAGAAATGGTAATGGCTTTCCAAGCACCATCTTGTTCATAAATACATCAGATGAGTCTAGGTATTTGTTGCCCAAATGACTGAGAAAGGCAGCACATCAGATAATTGACTTTTTGAAGCTTTCCCTTGGCCACTCTTTAGGATTCAGAATGAAGGTTCCTGGCTCAGAGAAGCATTACCCTACAGCCCTTACCTGCATCCTTTCCCTTTCTCCATTAGTGCAATGCCAATCTCACCGAAGACGGTCATCTGTCTTCACTGCGGGCTGAGGGCCTGGTGAAGGCAGACATGTGTGCCTTCATTCTATAAACTTCAGCATCTGCATAAGCCCCTGGAACTCAATAAATATCATAAGCATGAATGTTATTAAAATATAGTCTAAAGAAAGCTTATCTCAGAATTGATAAGATGTGTCCTCTTTTATCTAACCATCCCCCCAATGGTTCTAAGTCTTATTGGTAGTGTCTTCATAAAAAATGTTATGGTAGTTATTTACATTTCACTTGGCAGCCAGCAACACACTGCCACCATTCCACTGCAGATCTTCTACTCCTGGAGTAGACTCAACAATGAAACCCTGTTGGAACCAAGTCTTCCGGTTGTTCCAGGTGCAAACATGCTCTCTGTCTGTAGGTGTAGTACCAGGTACACTGTACTGTTCGCTGTAATATAGTCTGTTCTGGATATTTATTAATGGAAATGAGTCTCACTTCTCACTGACTTTTGCCATCCTCTCTGCCTCTTTAATTGCTTTCTCTCGGTAGCACAGAGGATCCTATTCCATGCTAATCTCATTCTCATTCCCAAGAGAATGTTCAAAGAAACTGATGATTGCTCACGGCTGCCAGAATATCTTCTGGGGGCGGGGGTGCTTCTCTAATCTTTGCTTGGCATCACTTATAGGATCTGAGCCATTCACGGGTGGGAGGAGGGTGGGGAGAATGGAGTGCCTATGCAACCTTCCCAAGGTCCCTTAGTTGCACTTTCTGACAATTATCATTGATGCATCAATTAATGCAACATGATTTTGAGGTTCTATAGTGTTCTCTCTGCCCCAAAGCACTTTCACCCTCTTGTTTCATTTAATATTTATAATAATACCTCTGCAACTTGTTAATTTCTAGCATAGAATGGAATCCTGGGGCTCAGAGGCTGAAAGTGACTTGCCTGGGATTGTCCATCTGTAAATATTAGATGCTGGATTCAAGACTCCAAGTCTAAAGTTCTCTTTGCTACATAATAGTTATTTCCAGGGATCATGGCGGTGAGTTTAATGATGTAAGGGAAGTGGTTCTATGGCCAATATTCAGATCAGAGTCAATTAATAGAATAGCATTAGCTAAAATATTATTTTGAATATTTACTATTTTCTATCTCCCATATTAAGTTCTTGCACACATTATCTAATTTGCTCTTCACTAGCACCCTACCAGGAATCTATTAGTTATCCCTCATTTTAGAGATGAGGTAACTTAGGCATAGGGAGATGAGGAACTGCCCCAAGATTAGGTAGATTGTGAATGATGGTCCTAGGATTTGAGTCCAGGCTGTTAGACTCTAGATATTGAATCATATCTAGATATTTAATCATGCCTATCTTTGTGGGATCTAAATCATTTGAAAAAAAAAATCTGTTTATTTGAGTCTCCAGAAAGCTCAGAATCATCCTCTATCCTTTCTTTCCCTTTGTATAGAAATAGTGATAGCATTGGAGTCGGGGAAATGGCAGAGCAGTTCCCAAGAGGAGATGGACTTTCTTTACTGGGATCTCTGTTGAGAAAAACCCTGGAACAATTACCTAGCTGGCTGTGCTATGGATTTGGTAAGGTGAAGACATAGAATAGAGATGCAGTTGAGTTGGGATGGGAGACTTGTGTCAGGGACAGCACAGGCTGGATTTGGAGAAATTGGGTCAATGTAAAACCACAGGAGGATGATCAGGCTTTGGTTCCAGGGTTAGGAAGGCCTCCACAACAAAGCCGTCCAGAACACCATGGAAAGCTATGTTGAATCCAGTTGGGTTGAGAGCAGACTTCCAGCCCAAGCCTTCAGGGCTACAGAAGCTCTCCTGTCCATCAAGGTCTCCTGTCCATTGTGGGTACCTGCTTGGTACTGTCCTCTAAGTGGGTTCCAGTCCAGTGAAGCTTGCTGCTTCCTCTCTACTCCTGAGTGAGTTAATTGGACTTTCCCTCCTTTGTAAAATCCCCAGTCCATTTTCATTTATTTTTACTTCTTGCATCATTCTAGTGCTTAAATCCATCCTTCTCTTGCTTAAATCTATAAACAGCAATTTGCAAGGGAGATAAACTTTCTCCACATCTGATCCTTAACAAGCTAAAATTCTATCTCCAAAAGCTGTTTCTGCCAGATCCGAGAGCCAAGTCTTAAAGCAATCAAAGACATCAAGTTTTTTTTTTTTTTAAAAGAAATTACATAAAATTGAAAACAACACACAGAATTTAACCATCCTCTCCCATTCCTCCATCTGTTTGTCTCCTGTAACTCTGGACTGTGGCTTAATTACGAGGGAAAATGAGAAGATATTCTGTTGACATTATAATGATATTAATAGAAAGAATTAACCCTAATAATGATAATAATACCTATTACTTAATTTACTCTGACTACTATTTATGTAGTGATCATATGGTGCACTTAATACATATCCGACATGTATTTTATTCTATAATTTAATCCTGTCAACAATCATATCCAGTAGGTGGTATTGCATTCCAAAATTGTATTTGTAGTTCTATTCAGCATTTTCACATGAAGGCAGGAACTCTCAGGAGTCACTTCTTAGCGATGATCTCAGAGTTTACAACTTACAAAGCCAGTATATGAATCTAGGTTGAACCTGACGGTGGAGCTCACACTCATTTTACTTAACAGATAATGTCTCACATTTTTTAAAATATCACACATAGTGATTCTTTAGTAATTTTTAAGGCACATATGTACACATTAAATTGGAGACTAGTAATTAAAAAAATATATATCCTATCTCCACACCACACTATAAAAATAAGACATTCATCAGAAAGGTGTTTATGGTTTTATAATGATCTGACAACTAAATTGCTTGTTCAGTGTGAGTTGTGTAATGTTGTTCCCTATTAGATTAAATATTAAGAATCCAATTTGCCAACTGCTAACAGAATTGCTGAACATTGCACACAGTCAGGGGAATTGGTTTTAATGAAGAACAAATGGAAGTAAAATGCTAGAAAATGAACGTGCTATCTATAAATGTTTTAGTAGATAGGTTCAGCATTTTCAAATGTGGATTAAGTATTCTCCACACTGGAATGCTGTGTTGACTTCAGTTGCCTTAATTAAAAAATCTATTGTCTGCAGAGTCATTGTGAGAAAATCCAATTGTGAAATGGCCTATGCATATCATCTGTCTATAATCCTGAAAAGAAAAAGGCAGAGGGGCAGCTGTGTTTGGGAGACTGCAAGGAAACAGGGCTTCAGTTCCATATTATTACCTTTCTGTACCTCAGTCTCTTCAGAGCAGGGAAAAGCGGAGCAGGATTTGCATAGTGCCATTGCCACTGTGACGGCCAGCAACATCACTCTACCTGCTGGTCCCTCTAAGGCATCCCTCTTTATACTTTAAAGTTCTCCCAAGGGCCATCACTCCCCCTATGCCTGCAGTGTGGGCATACCTTTCTTCTATTTACTCATAGCATGAATACCTATCTTGTTTTCATCCTTTGCCAGACTCTCCCTTAAGCACCTTGCTTATATTATCTGCCCTACTTGTTACTCACCACATTGCTCATAGGTAATTGCTATTATTATTGCTATTTTATTGTTGAGACAGAGTTTCTCTCTGTCACCCAGGGTGGAGTGCAGTGGCTCCATCTCCGCTCACTGCAACCTCCATCTCCCGGGTTCAAATGATTCCCCTGCCTCAGCGTCCTGAGTAGCTAAGATTACAGGTGTGCGCCACCATGCCCAGCTAACTTTTGTATTTTTAAGTCATGTTATTTCACCATATTCGTCAGGCTG